TTTAGCTACCTAGCGCCACATGTTTTGATGTCCGTTTTTGTTTATAAAGTCGCGATTTCGTATAATTGAGTGATAATGAGTGTACCCTTCGATTCTGTGTCACCTCACAATGTGAAACGATGTCTTGTTTGTGTATAAATTTTAAGTAAAAAGGCTATTTTACCGTGTGAGTGTTGTGCTAAGTGTATTAGCATTTTTTCGCTCAGGGCTCATTTAGGCTCATTTGGGCTTTTTGTGAGACTTGTGTTTTATTTCGGAAATAATTGGTTTTATATGGCCGGATAGCTGAGTTTCTTCCGGTTATTTGAGTATGCAAACATTAATAGTTTCATACATTTTTTTAATTCTTAAAATTCCTGAGACATCGGTGCTCAGAAAAAATACTGCGAGGCGGGGGCTCTCGGGCTAACAGGTTAAGTCTTGGTTAAGGTGGTTTCGACCTCTTAAAGTCTTGGTTAAGGTGGGTCTCGACCTCTTAAAGTCTTGGTTAAGGTGGTCTCGACCTCTTAAAGTCTGGTAAGGTGGTCTCGACTCTTAAGTCTTGGTTAAGGAGGTCTCGACCTCTTAAAGTCTTGGTTAAGGTGGTCTCGACCTCTTAAAGTCTTGGTTAAGGAGGTCTCGACCTCTTAAAGTCTTGGTTACGAGGTCTCGACCTCTTAAAGTCTTGGTTAAGGTGTCTCGACCTCTTAAAGTCTTGGTTAAGGAGGTCTCGACTCTTAAAGTCTTGGTTTAAGGAGGTCTCGACCTCTTAAAGTCTTGGTTAAGGAGGTCTCGACCTCTTAAAGTCTTGGTTAAGGTGGTCTCGACCTCTTAAAGTCTTGGTTAAGGAGGTCTCGACCTCTTAAAGTCTTGGTTAAGGTGGTCTCGACTCTTAAAGTCTTGGTTTAAGGTGGTCTCGACATCTTAAGTCTTGGTTAAGGTGGTTCTCGACCTCTTAAGTCTTGGTTAAGGTGGTCTTACCTCTTAAAGTCTTGGTTAAGGTGGTCTCGACATCTTAAAGTCTTGGTTAAGGTGGTCTCGACCTCTTAAAGTCTTGGTTAATGTGGTCTCGACCTCTTAAAGTCTTGGTTAAGGTGGTTTCGACCTCTTAAAGTCTTGGTTAAGGTGGTCTCGACCTCTTAAAGTCTTGGTTAAGGTGGTCTCGACCTCTTAAAGTCTTGGTTAAGGTGGTCTCGACCTCTTAAAGTCTTGGTTAAGGTGGTCTTAACACTATTAAACGCAGGATGACGCCCGACTGCTTTATCCCTTTATTTACAGTTGAGGCCTAAATTATTAGCCCCCCAGGAGTTATGGAACATTTTCCTAAAATTCTTCCCAATGTTTCCAGCATTGATAAAACTTGATATAATCAAACATTCACCAGTGCTATTTAGTAGCTTTTGGTACATTTTGGAAAATAAAATAAGATTTTAGGCTCGCTTTATAACAAATATAGTGAAAAATGGGTCAAAAATATTAGCCCCCATGGCTTTCAAGCCACACCTGATCAACCAATCGGCTTTCAAGCCACACCTGAGCATCCAATCAGCATAAAAGGACTCCAAGAAACAGGCACTCTGATACCTTATAGAGAGGGACTATACTACTCCTACTCACCATGCCAAACACAAAGGAAATCAGTCTTGAGCTCAGAAAGAAGACAGTGGAGGCTCATGAGAAGGGGGAAGGCTATACTGCTATGTCCAAGCGCTTCACAGTGTCTAGACCTGCTGCACGTTGCATCATTGAGAAGTACAAGGTGACACCTTCTGTAAGAAACAAACCTGGGCGTGGTCGAAAGCACAAGGTTTCAAGAACTCTGGAGAGGAAAACAGTCAGAGATGTCAGCAAGATGATTGTTGCTGACCTGGCCTCTGCTGGAGTTGATGTTTCAAGGAACACAGTAGTGAGGGCTCTTCATCGTGGTGGGCTTCAGGCTCTTCATCGTGGTGGGCTTCAGGGCCTTCATCGTGGTGGGCTTCAGGGCCATCGTCCCAGAAGAACCCCTTTACTCAAAGAGCGGCACATCAGAGCCAGACTGAGGTTTGCCCGTGAACATTTGAAAGGTAAAGATGAGTGTTGGAAGTCTGTGCTTTGGTCTGATGAGACTAAACTGGAACTGTTTGGACACATGGATGTTGCTCATGTTTGGTGAAGAAAGGGAGAGGCCTTCTACCCTAAGAACACATCATGCTGTGGGGCTGCAGCCTCAGGCACAGGGAGCCTTGTTCGGGTGCAAGGCATCATGAACAATGTAAATTATGTTGACATTTTGAGGGATAATATGAACAAATCTGCTCTTAGTCTTCGCTTAGGTCTTCCAACAAGACAATGACCCAAAGCACACATAAAAATTGGTCCAACAGTTCCTAAAGGACACCAACACCAAGGTGCTGGAGTGGCCCGCACAGAGCCCAGATCTGAACCCTATTGAGAATCTGTCGGGTGCTCAAAGTGAATGTCCATGCTCGGAAACCACGCAACTTGAACCAGCTGGAACAATCTGCGATGGAAGAATGGGCCGACATCCCTCAAGAGACCTGAGCCAACCTAGTGAAGAACTACTCTAAGAGCTTCTTGGCAGTTGTGGCTCAGGAAGGGTGCACTATTGACTATTAAGGGCCTGGGGGCTAATATGTTTGACCAACCCATTTTTCACTATATTTGATATAAAGTGAGCCTAAAATCTTATTTTATTTCAACTGTAGATAATGTAGCACTGATTGAAATGAAGGTGAAATTCAATCCAGTTTTATTATTGAACCAGATGTGAATCCCCGTGAAAGACTTCAAGCAATGAGACGTGCTGATTTTCACAATTTATTAACAAAATGATAAAATAAATAAATACAAATTGATCAAATGCTCCTAATATCAACTCCTCCCCTTGTTCCCCACAGTATTTCCTAAACACTGCATACAAAGAAGTCATCACAGAAGAATAGGCTCAATACAGAGGTAAGAATCCCAGCAGACCGCCCCCGTGTCAGGCCAACAGAAGACACGTCTGGAACACAAGTCAAAAAAATAAACACATTCCTTTCCAAAATCATTATGAAAAAATACAAACAATTATACAAATATTCAGAGTGTGTAATTCCTACACATTATTCAGCACACCAGGTGACCTCTCCGTCGCTACCAGGTGACCTCTCCGTCGCCACCAGGTGACCTCTCCGGCGCTACAATGCCTCACCGTATGGAAGATAAAAAAAGACTATTTTGTTTTGATTTTTTGTTTTTTTTTGCACTCAACACCCCCGATGGATTAGCCGTGGACGACGAGGTAAGAAGCTCGGGGCGAACAGTTGGATCCGGACAGGATGGACAGCGGGTCGATGTCTCCACACAATACTAGAAGGCCACAATCAGGACTTGATCGTTCGTTAAAATAAAGAACTGCTTTCAGAAGAATCCACGAGATGAGCGTCTAATTATAATAAACGATATGCATCAATTACAGAAAATGTACGGAGGCTCGGAGGGGCAAAAATAAAAGGTGACGCATTTGTGTTCAGGACTTAAAAGGTTAACATTTTCCTACGTTCATCTTTTTCCTTTTGTGAAACAAGTGGGAAAAAGCAGATCGTTTTTGTTGCTATTTGTGAAATTGTGCAACTGATGTAATACTCATTTAAACCACAAGAGGAGAAGTATATGTTATATTTATGTATTTGTATATAGTTAAATATAAAGAACATGGGCGAGTACTTCAGCCCCTTGTGGTGAAAAGGAGTATTACAACAAACACTAAGCTAATAAAAACCTCTTTTTTTTCAATCTATGAAAAACATTTTTTAACCGGTATTTTAAATGTAATACTAATTTAAACCACAAGAGGTGAAGTACATATTATATTTACATATTCGTATGTGTGTTTAGAGATCATGAAGTGATTAAAACACAGGAGAGTACGTCAACCTCTTGTGGTCAAAATGAGTATTACAACACTCATCTAAAATTACCCTTAAAAACTATTTTCAGATTAAATAAAGGAACCGCCGAGTTCATCCACCTGTTTCAAAGAGGATTTACAATAAACACTTTTTGTTGATTTAGCAAAACACTCATTGAAATGTTCTTAAATCATAAACACAAAACAATTCATATCAGATTTTTAAAAACGCACCAACAGATTTTTATTTTTCCTCGCCTCTCGGGGCTTTCGTTTTTCTAAATGCTTCCCAACAGAAAAGCGTTTAGCCGTTCTCATCGGATAAATTCACTTTTTAGACCAAATAGGATCCGATAACTCAATAAACAAGCCCCGCCCCCCCCCAAACATTCAGCATGGTGCGTGAGCCGAGTCCAAATGAAAGTCTAAACACGACGTCAGGAAGAAATGAGAAACACCCAAACTGCACAATGTTCAACGGAATAAAGGTGACTTTGAGTTTCACATAAAAAAAGAAGTTAAAAAACAAATGCATATTTAAAAAAGGTTTGACAAATCTGGTATAAAAGTTTGCATAAGAAGGCATGCGAGGACAGGTCTGCGCCGCGGTTAGCTTGTTTTAAGCAGAAAATCCAGAAACACAAGACGAGGAACCACGGCATCGAGGGAACGAAGAGGGAGGGTTATGAGTCTCTAGATTCATGACGGATCCTTTTTTTTTGTTTTTCTACACGCCCATAATAATATCAATAATATCAATAATTTCAATAACACTGGTCGAAACAAGTGCATCGCCAAACGTCCGGCTGTCAAACATCCCAGTAATCTCTCTCTGGAGCGATTTCCCGCCACCAAAACCCACCAAATCCACCAAACCCACCAGGCTGGGATCTCTCCACGCTCAGGAAGGGAAATAAAACACATTTAAGGCAACTCCTATAATAATAAAAAACAACGAGGAAACACAATGTGGTCGAGAAGAAACGAAGAAATATGAAAATGATGTTTCCGTTGAGGAAGTGAAGGGCTGGGGGGGGTTTCTACAAGTCACAGTGCAAGTCAAGAGACAAATATTATCTGCTGTTTGAAGAAAAGGCACTCGAGGTACCTACTGTACAGAGGGGGGGGGGGGGGGGGGGGGGGGGCAAAGAAAACCGTTTAAAACCGATCGATGGAGAATCAGGAGGAACAAGCGTCCACTTCCTGTTGTCCTTGTCGTAGAAACCGTCTCTTCTGCTCGGGGTCTCCTGATGAAGGCAGTTTGTACAGCTGACGTCAGAAACTCAAACATGGTGTGTTTCGATATGTTGGTACAATATGATATGATAAAAAAAAAGACACACATGTAACACCTTGTTTTTAAAGTCGCCTCACATCGTATTCACCGCTGCGCTCACGACTACAGAACCACGTTCCCACGAAACAGAAACGCATCGTCCGGGAGAATCCTCTGAATCTAACAGAGGAAACTCAGGACCATTCAGCGCTGGCTTAGTTTCAGACAGGAAGTAGTTTGTTGTGTTTTCATTTAACTTTAATTCCCACGTTTAAGACAGCCATAGCACTCTGTTCTGTTCTGTTGCGCGGGAACACATTGTAGGTTTATTATTTATTCATATTATTTAAGAATGTCATCCTAACACGAGTCTACAGCCATGCTAGCAGCTTCTTCCATTAGAGCTAATTGCTATAGTTAGCATGCTAACAGTGGCAACGCTAACGTGAATCTGGTCATAAAACAGAGTCCCGGGAGATCCTTTACTGAGACGTCTGAAGAAAGGCCTGGTGGCGAATATCTGAAACGTTAGCTAAACTAGTGTTGAGATATTTCACTAAACGTGAGGCTCCAGAGAGAGATCTCCAAATTGAGGCCGTCTCGTGGCCACTAGCATGGCTGCTAACTCCCCGTCAGGAAAACCAGCTTCTCATGATTTCAGGACAATCGTCTTCATGGCTTCTCAGCGGTGAATACGAGTTTTCACGACTACACGTGAAGCAGAAACAGCTCCAACAGAAAGCACCGTTAGTGGAGGCGGAGCCAGAAGTCATGATTCAGCGGAGAAACTCAGACGAGCTCCAGAGAGGGGAGAGATGCTAACCCAGGAACACACCTTCAATGTCACACAGAGGTTTTGGATTTCCTCCTAGAAAAATATTGGCAATGTGGGGATAAGTCACATCACAACAAAGAGATGCATACTCTGTTTCCATATCACATACAAAAAGCTCTTCTTTGCAGCAAGCTTGTGCTTTAATCTCAGGACTTGTGGTTCCTTTGAGACCCGAAGATCCTCGGTTATTGTTTAGTAAGCTCTCCTGTCTCGATCTGGGGACGCATCTATACATCTCACAACGCCAATGATTTGATCTTTCCGTAGACGGCCTGGTCCCTGCTGGATCTGGAGACAACATCATTTGGCAGTTCAGGGTTGGACAGAAAGCAGAGATCACCACTGTGTTGAGAACGCCAGTCCAGCAGGTTCAGGAACAGAAAGCACTTCTTCTGAAGACTAGGAAGACCTGAATATCTTTTCCTATAAAAAGAAACACAGCCCAGATATAGTTTGTGTTGACATTGCAATATTGCAATTTCACATTTAGTGCTCACAGTTGACACACTTGACTCACGAATGAAAACTCAATCACTACACTTGACCGACACCACTGGAAACATCTGTGAGGCCACAGCTGGCCTCGTCCCGCCGAACACTTCTGCATCAAGTCACGGGAACAGGGGTCAGTATTCGGGGGGTCATTGGTCCACTGGGAGAGGGTTTTTGGGTTGTTGGAACTGGATGTTTGAACTGGCGAAGCTACGTTTCGTCTTTAGTAACCAGAGGGGTTCTTTGTTGGCGAATGAACACGGTTTCTGGTTCGAGACTGTTCTAGACACATCAGTGAGATTCTCTTTGTGCGACGCTAACTTCTCTGTACGGTGGAAAACAGGTGCAAACGCGCTGCAGCTTCAGACACGATGCAACTGTCTCAGAGTTAGTCGTCTCATGTGTTTGTCAGAAAATCTGAAATGACTAGGTTAGCTACGTTAGCTAGCTAGCTTACAGCAGATCTGCAGTAGCATCAGAAGGAGTCATGTGATCACATTGTTAAAATACGGGGGAAATAAATGAACAGGCGTTATGTTCACAGACTGATTTGAAAGTTGGGTGTGTTTGGTTTAACGGGGTCTGGACGCTTCAAACAACGATACTTCCCAACATGTATGGAGTTACTAAACCCTTTGGGGTTCAGGAGGGAATGACTGGGGAACGTTTGGTTTCTCGAGGGGAAGGTCATGTATGTTGGTTGAATGAACGCGTCTACAGCTGGACACTAGTTTGGAAGTTATGGGTTGGTTTAAAGGCGTCAGGATGCTTGGTCCTGCAACAGAAGGTCTAGTATTTGAATATTGAACCCCTTTTGGTCTACGAGTGACCTTAGTCTTCTGGATCACCAATCCGCGTCCAAAACAACTTCCCCCCCCGACCTGCTGCCTGCGCCTGATCATTTTGGTGACACTTTGTACAACCTAGCTCAACCCAGGACTTCCTTTTCTGTGCACTGATTGGATAACGGACCAAACTGTTACGATAGGGGAGGTGACATTGGATGGTTGGGGTTCAGGGGTTCAGGGGTTTTCACAGGAAGAGGGTATCAGGGCTGCAGAAGTTTCGGTTCATTGGGACGAGGGGGTGCACAGGCTCTCTTTTCATTACTCTATCACAACACTGCTTCTTTAGTGACCCCTGACCCCTGACCCCTGACAGATGGGATCCATGCTCCCTCAGAGAACACAGGGGCCACGTTATCAGGCACACACTGGTGTGATGATGAATTAAATCTCCCTTTGAGCATCTCCACACTGGACGTCTATCACTAATTGGCATGATGACACTGGTGCGTGGCCAGAGTCATGTGACCTGGTGCGTCGCCAGAGTCATGTGACCCGGTGCGTCGCCAGAGTCATGTGACCTGGGCTGTATATCTACCATTGACACAGTCTGACAATACGATGCAAACAAACAACATTTATACAGATTGGCAACTTCAGGGCGCCGTCGGGCGCAAAGCAAAGTCTTTTTTTTTTTATATATATGTTTGAATTCCCGCCACTGCAGAGAGCTGGCATTACTTCTTATTGTCCAAACTGCTGACGAGAGCTGGCAAAGAATGCTGGGAGGGTTCTGAGGTTTTGTTGTTGTTGTTGTTGCTGTTGTCATCGCTGATCTCCTCCTGCTTCTTCTCCACCGCCGTCTCTGGAGGGGGTGACGCCAGACATCTTGTTGGTGGTGCAGGTTCCCTCTGGGCTCCGAGGGTCAGGGCTCTTGTGTTCGGGGCTCCGGGGGTCAGGGGCTCTTGTGTTCGGGACTCCGGGGGTCTTTGCCCGGAGGATCGGACGTCCCGTTTGTACCGTTGGTGGTTGCGACCGTTGAAATGACAGTTGAGACGACCGTTGAGACGACCGTTGAGACGACCGTTGAGACCCCCGAAGGAGCAGGAAGGTCGACCACCTCAGTCTCAGGGTCGGAAACAACCTCCGTCTGTAGGTTAGAGGGTAAATCACCGCCTCCCACAGCCTCACCCCCCGCCCCAACCTCCCCCCCTTCCCCTGAACCATCACCTGCCTGGATCCCCGTCCCTCCAGTCGGCTGTTATCTGCTGTTAGCTCTGAAGCCTCTACGACAGCCTTGCTCTCGGTGTTTCCGGCTGCCTGGATGTTCCCTGGCGCTCCGGGCTGCTCTGCTTTCTCGTCTCCACCAGTGTTACTGTTACTGCTGGTGGTGGTGTTGGTGGTGGTGGTGGTGTTGTTGGGGGAGGTGGAGGAGGAGGAGCTCTCAGCCTTCACATTCTCCACAGAGTTTGCTTCAGAGACGGTGGCAGCAGCAGACTCCTGGACGTCCTCCTTCAGAGCCTGGTTGAAGTTGAAGGCTTGGATGAGACGGATCAGGTGCTTGACCTTCTCCAGAGACAGGTGCATGTCTTTCTGCCGAGCCAGGATCGTGTTTTTGGTCTCCATGCATTTCTGATGGGAGAGAGAGAGAACACATTCTTACACCGTGGATTCTTAAACTTACAAAAAATGATGTGCCCCAGAAAATAGAACATTCTTCAAGAGTTTCAGAAGATGTGTTCGCCTCTGGTAAGCATATCACATAATGATGTGCTCTTACAGCTCTGTAGTTTGTTTCTTACCGTTACGGAGTTGCTGAGCTGTTTGACTCTGAGCTCCAGCTGCTCTCGCTCCAGCTTCAGTTCAGAGCTCCACTTCATCAGCTTCAGCTTCTCCTCTTCTTTAGCTGAAACACACAAAACACAACGGTTCATCTCAAATGTTGTTTTTAGTTAACGAGAAGTTTGGCCATTTTAGTTGAATCTCAGTCAAAGGAAAACCTAAACTAGTCATAAGTTATATTCCCCCAAAATATTAGCTGGTAACTGTTGTTGTTATTGTTGACTGAACTCAGCCAGAATGAAAAGGTGTCCAATACACCACAGGTCTCACTACAAGAAATCAAGTACCTGTTTAGAGGTATCTCTACATTTTCAAATGAATCAACCAACTTTGTTAGATTGAACCCCGTGACTCCATTTCAGTCTGGTCTGTTTAATCTACATCACTGCATATTGATATGGCCACAGTTTGCGTTCACGATGTTCTCAAAGTATTAGCATTCTGATGTCGGAGAGAGTCAAAGAATCGTCACCTTCTTTTAGGGCTGTGCGATTATGGCAAAAATTATAATCACGATTATTTTGGTCAATAATTGATATCACGATTATTAAAAACGATTATCCATTTACTTTGAAAACATCCATTTATTGAAAAATAAAATTGGAACAGTATGTTTTTAACAGTTGATTACCCTGAACTTAAAGTATAATTCAACTGAAAAACCAATAAAAAAAAATATTAAAAAAAATAATTACATTTTTTTTTTTTTTTTATAAAAATAATAATCGTTTTATTTCGATTACGTTGTTTTCGTAATCGTTGCAAGCCAAAATCGTAATCGAGATTAAAATACGATTAATTGCACAGTCCTACCTTCTTTGTAGGCGATGTAGGAGTGAACAATAGCCAGAGTGCCGGGCCAGGGGATGGCTTCTTCTTTCTTCAGGATCTGCAAAGAGAAGCTGGCAGTTGTCAAAGAGAAGCTGGCAGTTGTCAAAGAGGCAGAGATGTGGAAAAGATTGGAGGGAAATAAATGTATCCGCCACCCTGCGGTGGTGAGGCTGAAACAAGGGGAAGCAATGGAGTGGATGGGTGTGAGGTCTGTACTGACACAATGAGTGGGACAGAAGCACAAAAAAACAATACTATCATGTGTATGCTTACAAAGGCTTGAACAGTCCTAAAGTTCAGACAGCAGGTTTTACAGAACAGCTAAGTGGCTCTGAGTGTCTCTGGACTTGAGGAGGGTCTGAGTGCAGAGCTCCAGGCTGGGGCCCACCTCCTCCGTGAGACCCTTCTTTAAAGAGGACGCCAGGACCATCACAAGGGCGAACATCAGTTTAAATTACCCTCGCCGAATAAATAAACGTTAAAGTCGTTATACCGTGCTGTATAAACTCAGTGGACGTAACGCGGCAAATATAGCTGACGCAATTTATCTTTCTTAGCACGTGAAATCACACGTGATTTACACCTTAAGACACGTGATTTTGCACCTTTACAAACGCCAACAAAAACGGAGGATTTTCCAACTATACATGTTAAAACACGCAAGCGATTTCCTACCTTAACAAACGCAATAACTGACTCACATTTTCTTTCTGAGCGTGTGAAATCACACAGGATTTTCAACCTCAACACACTTGACTTTTCAACCTCAACACACTTGATTTTCAACCTCAACACACGTGACTTTTCAACCTCAACACACTTGATTTTCAACCTCAACACACGTGACTTTTCAACCTCAACACACGTGACTTTTCAACCTCAACACACGTGACTTTTCAACCTCAACACACGTGACTTTTCAACCTCAACACACGTGACTTTTCAACCTCAACACACGTGATTTTCAACCTCAACACACGTGATTTTCAACCTCAACACACTTGACTTTTCAACCTCAACACACGTGACTTTTCAACCTCAACACACGTGACTTTTCAACCTCAACACACGTGACTTTTCAACCTCAACACACGTGACTTTTCAACCTCAACACACTTGATTTTCAACCTCAACACACGTGACTTTTCAACCTCAACACACGTGACTTTTCAACCTCAACACACATGACTTTTCAACCTCAACACACGTGACTTTTCAACCTCAACACACGTGACTTTTCAACCTCAACACACTTGACTTTTCAACCTCAACACACTTGACTTTTCAACCTCAACACACGTGACTTTTCAACCTCAAACACACTTGACTTTTCAACCTCAACACACGTGACTTTTTGAATCCCTACACACATGTGATTTCTCCACCTACACACAGGTGACTTTTCAATCCTACACACAGGTGACTTTTCAATCCTACACACAGGTGACTTTTCAATCCTACACACACGTGATTTTTTCCAACTAAACACGCGTTTTACATTTTACACCTTCCACAAGTGTTTCTCCACCCTAACACCTGACCCTCCACCCTAACACCTGCCTCTCCACCCTAACACCTGACCCTCCACCCTAACACCTGCCTCTCCACCCCTAACACCTGACCCTCCACCCTAACACACTGACCCTCCATCCTAACACCTGACCCTCCACCCTAAACACTCCACCCTAACACCTAACCCTCCACCCTAACAACTCCACCCTAACACCTGACACTCCACCCTAACGGCCCGTCCACACAGCGGCGTGTGTTAAATCTTGCCGGCGGGCGTGTCTGAAACTCGACCAACAACCAATCACACGAATCTCCCGCCCCAGACACACAAGCACGCGGTTTGATTGGCTAGAGCTTGTACTGGCATATGTTTTGATTGGCTGATGCTTCCGCTGAAGCTTCAAAAGTTGAACATTGCTCAACTTTTGCAGCGAGCAACGCGTAGCGACGCTCCCACAATGCAGTTCGGCGAAGCGTGACGTCACCCCATTCAAAGTGAACGGGCAGAAGCGTTGAAGCTTCAACGCACGCCGCCGTGTGGACGGGCCGTAACACCTGACTCTCCACCCTAACACCTGACTCTCCACCCTAACACCTGACTCTCCACCCTAACACCTGACCCTCCACCCTAACACCTGACTCTCCATCCTAACACCTGACTCTCCACCCTAACACCTGACCCTCCACCCTAACACCTGACTCTCCACCCTAACACCTGACTCTCCACCCTAACACTCCACCCTAACACCTGACACTCCACCCTAACGGCCCGTCCACACAGCGGCGTGTGTTAAATCTTGCCGGCGGGCGTGTCTGAAACTCGACCAACAACCAATCACACGAATCTCACGCCCCAGACACACAAGCACGCGGTTTGATTGGCTAGAGCTTGTACTGGCATATGTTTTGATTGGCTGATGCTTCCGCTGAAGCTTCAAAAGTTGAACATTGCTCAACTTTTGCAGCGAGCAACGCGTAGCGACGCTCCCACAATGCAGTTCGGCGAAGCGTGACGTCACCCCATTCAAAGTGAACGGGCAGGAAGCGTTGAAGCTTCAACGCACGCCGCCGTGTGGACGGGCCATAACACCTGACTCTCCACCCTAACACCTGACTCTCCACCCTAACACCTGACCTCCACCCTAACACCTGACTCTCCATCCTAACACCTGACTCTCCACCCTAACACCTGACCCTCCACCCTAACACCTGACTCTCCACCCTAACACCTGACTCTCCACCCTAACACTCCACCCTAACACCTGACACTCCACCCTAACGGCCCGTCCACACAGCGGCGTAGTGTTAAATCTGCCGGCGGGCGTGTCTGAAACTCGACCAACAACCAATCACACGAATCTCACGCCCCAGACACACAAGCACGCGGTTTGATTGGCTAGAGCTTGTACTGGCATATGTTTTGATTGGCTGATGCTTCCGCTGAAGCTTCAAAAGTTGAACATTGCTCAACTTTTGCAGCGAGCAACGCGTAGCGACGCTCCCACAATGCAGTTCGGCGAAGCGTGACGTCACCCCATTCAAAGTGAACGGGCAGAAGCGTTGAAGCTTCAACGCACGCCGCCGTGTGGACGGGCCATAACACCTGACTCTCCACCCTAACACCTGACTCTCCACCCTAACACCTGCCCCTCCACCCTAACACCTGACTCTCCATCCTAACACCTGACTCTCCACCCTAACACCTGACCCTCCACCCTAACACCTGACTCTCCACCCTAACACCTGACTCTCCACCCTAACACCTGACTCTCCACCCTAACACCTGACTCTCCACCCTAACACCTGACCCTCCACCCTAACACCTGACCCTCCACCCTAACACTCCACCCTAACACCTGACTCTCCACCCTAACACCTGACCCTCCACCCTAACACCTGACCCTCCACCCTAACACCTGACCCTCCACCCTAACACCTGACTCTCCATCCTAACACCTGACCCTCCACCCTAACACCTGACCCTCCACCCTAACACCTGACTCTCCACCCTAACCACCTGACCCTCCACCCTAACACCTGACCCTCCACCCTAACACCTGACTCTCCACCCTAACACCTGACCCTCCACCCTAACACCTGACTCTCCACCCTAACACCTGACTCTCCACCCTAACACCTGACTCTCCATCCTAACACCTGACTCTCCACCCTAACACCTGACTCTCCACCCTAACACCTGACCCTCCACCCTAACACCTGACTCTCCACCCTAACACCTGACCCTCCACCCTAACACCTGACTCTCCACCCTAACACCTGACCCTCCACCCTAACACCCTGACTCTCCACCCTAACACCTGACCCTCCACCCTAACACCTGACTCTCCACCCTAACACCTGACCCTCCACCCTAACACCTGACTCTCCATCCTAACACCTGACTCTCCACCCTAACACCTGACTCTTCACCCTAACACCTGACCCTCCACCCTAACACCTGACTCTTCACCCTAACACCTGACTCTCCACCCTAACACCTAACCCTCCACCCTAACACCTGACTCTCCACCCTAACACCTGACCCTCCACAGTATCCACGTGATTCTCCACCCTAACCTAACGCGTGGTGTTCTGACGGAGGTCTGACGGAGGTGCTGGAGGTGTGCCGGAGCCTGAGCTCTGCAGCGGGGCTCTGGTTCTGACCCGGGATCAGTCACGGTTGCTGTGGTTACCTGATCATGACATTTGGGACAGATCCACATGCCTTTAGGAATGGTTTTCAGGGGGGGGGTCCAGGCAGTCCAGGTGAAAAACACGAGAACACGTGTCGCACATGAGCAACTGGCCACTGCGTCTGCACACAGTGCAGAAATCCTCATGGATGTCTCCCTGTGAGGAAGAATTGGACCAATCAGTTTCCAGCGTAGCCCCACCACGCAGAGGCCGGGGGGGCACCATGAGGTGTAGTTTAATATCTCATGGACATGGTGTGTTTAGTCTGAGCCCACACAGAGGGTTACTGGGGGTTAGAATGTGTTCTGAGTGGTTATTAGAGGGGAACACCCCAAAAGCATCCTGTGTTTCAGCTCAAAGTGAACTCAGCCGTGAGTCAAGAGTCAAAGCACGTAGAAACAGATCAACTTCATGAAACATCGGTTTACTAACTCCTGCTCAATAATAGAAACCTCATGTATCCATTAGATGATCTCTACTTCACACACTGATTTATTTTCTAACATGTTGGAGCAATTTTTAGGAAATGTTTTCTCTATTTTTGTTCAATATTTTCACCATAACCTGAAATAAACCGTAACCTTTAAGCCACGTGTCCCAATTGTAGTTTTTGTGGAATATTATTATTATTTTCAGGTGAAATGTACCTTTAAAGACCCACATATTACACTGTTATTACACCCCTAATCCACACGTATTACACTGTTATTACACCCCTAATCCACACGTATTACACTGTTATTACACCCCTATTTTACCCTTATTACACTGTTATAAGACCCTTATTACCCCCCTAACACGCTGTTGTTACACCCCTAATCCACACGTATTACACTGTTATAAGACCCTTATTACACTGTTATTACACCCCTATTTTACCCTTATTACACTGTTATTACACCCTTATTACACTGTTATAAGACCCTTATTACACTGTTATTACACCCTTATTACACTGTTATAAGACCCTTATTACACTGTTATTACACCCCTATTTTACTCTTATTACACTGTTATTACACCCCTATTTTACCCTTATTACACTGTTATTACACCCTTATTACACTGTTATAAGACCCTTATTACACTGTTATAAGACCCTTATTACACTGTTATAAGACCCTTATTACACTGTTATTACACCCCTATTTTACCCTTATTACACTGTTATTACACCCTTATTACACTGTTATAAGACCCTTATTACACTGTTATTACACCCTTATTACACTGTTATAAGACCCTTATTACACTGTTATTACACCCCTATTTTACTCTTATTACACTGTTATTACACCCCTATTACACTGTTATAAGACCCTTATTACACTGTTATAAGACCCTTATTACCCCCCTAACACGCTGTTGTTACACCGACCTCCCTCATGGACGCAGCCTGTGAAATAATGGCCTCCTCCCGAACCATTTCAGGGTAAAACTAAACAGCACTTTTCTACGTCTTCTGACTCTTGGTCACTGTGGAGGCCTGAGAGAAAACACAGGGTTTGTTTTGGGGGGTCACTAAGGTATAGATGATGGTTTTGGGGGGTCACTAAGGTATAGATGATGGTTTTGGGGGTCTACAGGATGCTGTTCACTTTGTAAGGCTGAAAGTAAAAGTCATGGTGGATGATATTCATGGAGACAACAGAGATGTGTGATGTGTGTGGAGGTGACGGAGCTGCCGGCCTGTAAGTGTTGGATTACAGGGTTTCTCCCTCGTCTCCCCCCTCTCGTTACTTACATCCCCAGGGCTGGGCAGGGGGGGGGGGGCGGACGGGGCTGGAGGGGGAGGGCCGGGGGGGGGCGCTCCGGGACACCGCTGAATTTAGGAGGGCGACCTGGGTGAAATGAGACAGACAACAACAAAGACGGAAAACACAAAGAAAACAAAAGATGGAGAGGGGGGAGAAAAACAATCACAGTCTGTATGACATACCTTAGAAAGGGAGTCTTCGTTGGCTAGTGTGAGGAGGAGGCAGGGGAGGAGGAGGCAGGGGAGGATAAGGCAGGGGAGTAGGAGGAGGAAGATGAGGCAGGGGAGGAGGAAGAAGAGGAGGAGGAGGCAGGGGAGGAGGAGGAAGAGGAGTCAAAGCACAGACAGCAGTGTTAGTGCTGGAGTTAGTCAGATTCCACAGGCCCCCGTCATGTGATCAGGGCTGCAGCCTCACAGGCCCCCGTCATGTGATCAGGGCTGCAGCCTCACAGGCCCCCGTCATGTGATCAGGGCAGCCTCACACGGGCCAATAATAACTACAATTAAATACAGACTGTTATCCTATTTTTAGAGAAAAAACTTTTATCTTTTTATCAGACTTTTGTCATTAACTTGTGTTTAAATAAAGATTTGTATTTTACATTTTTATTGCACTTTCTACTTTAAATTATTATTTATAATATTACACTGTTATTACACCCCTATTTTAGCCATATTACACTGTTATCACACCCCTATTTTAGCCATATTACAATGTTATCACACCCCTATTTTAGCCATATTACACCCCTATTTTAGCCATATTACAATGTTATCACGCCCCTATTTTAGCCATATTACACTGTTATCACACCCCTATTTTAGCCATATTACAATGTTATCACACCCCTATTTTAGCCATATTACACTGTTATCACACCCCTATTTTAGCCATATTACACTGTTATCACACCCCTATTTTAGCCATATTACACTGTTATCACACCCCTATTTTAGCCATATTACACCCCTATTTTAGCCATATTACAATGTTATCACGCCCCTATTTTAGCCATATTACACTGTTATCACGCCCCTATTTTAGCCATATTACAATGTTATCACGCCCCTATTTTAGCCATATTACACTGTTATCACGCCCCTATTTTAGCCATATTACACTGTTATCACGCCCCTATTTTAGCCATATTACAATGTTATCACGCCCCTATTTTAGCCATATTACAATGTTATCACGCCCCTATTTTAGCCATATTACACTGTTATCACGCCCCTATTTTAGCCATATTACACTGTTATCACGCCCCTATTTTAGCCATATTACACTGTTATCACGCCCCTATTTTAGCCATATTACACTGTTATCACGCCCCTATTTTAGCCATATTACAATGTTATCACACACCTATTTTAGCCATATTACACTGTTATCACACCCCTATTTTAGCCATATTACACTGTTATCACACCCCTATTTTAGCCATATTACAATGTTATCACACCCCTATTTTAGCCATATTACAATGTTATCACACCCCTATTTTAGCCATATTACAATGTTATTAATAATAATAATATTGATCCTGTTAGAGTGTCAGATGGAGGTAATATTGATCCTGTTCGAGTGTCAGATGGAGGTAATATTGATCCTGTTAAGAGTGTCAGATGGAGGTAATATTGATCCTGTTAGAGTGTCAGATGGAGGTAATATTGATCCTGTTAGAGTGTCAGGTGGAGGTAATATTGATCCTGTTAGAGTGTCAGATGGAGGTAATATTGATCCTGTTAGTGTCAGATGGAGGTAATATTGATCCTGTTAGAGTGTCAGATGGAGGTAATATTGATCCTGTTAGAGTGTCGGATGGAGGTAATATTGATCCTGTAAAACTTCATATTTAGTATTTTTATATATGTGTAGAAGTATAAATCCGGCTTTAATTAAGAGGAGCGAAAAGAAACAGGAAGTAGCAGCAGGGGGGGGGGTTATTTTACAGCAGGTATTATTATTATTAGAGTCAGAAATTAGTCTCTTCTGATTATACTGAGCAAGTTAAACTGCTTTCTGTTACTGAGCTGCATCTTTATTTTACATACTGTATATATACACACAGGTATATACTGTATATATACAGATATCTATATATATATATATATATAGATATATATATATATATATATGGTGTATATCATACGGACCTCTCTTCCTGGTCCCTTGGTGCAGAGGGCTGTTCAGGTAACTCACTGCACTCTTTTTCCTCTGAAACAAACAGAACACGTTCAATTAATGAAATGTGAATAATTCATATTATGAGAAGAATGCTTTTCATTTAAAGCAGGGTGTCAAACTCAAGGCCTGCTACTACACTTTATGTGTCCCCACAAGAGCTCTGAAAGAATATCATATGTTTATTATACGGTTACATGCCACTTTACAGAAGCACGTTGCCCTTAAACTACATGTCCCACAATGCATCTCATTTTGTCACACTGAGACTTGTAATTATTTGCCGCAGTTAATTATGAAGTTATTACCCTATCCCATAATAATCCAATGCAGAGGCAATAATGTGATATAATACATTATTTTATATCTATTATATATTTATATAGTCTTAAAGTTACAACCGGCCCTTTGAGTGCAACCATAATGCTGATGTGGCCCTGAGGGGAAATTGAGTTTGACCCCTGATCTAAAACCTTCCCCTGATGGATGCTCCTCCACTGACGGCAGCTAATGGAATATTACTGTATAACAATATCCACATCAGTTCATCCTTTCAGGTCTGCATCAGTTTAGGTGAGATGTTGGTGAGGTTATGAGCTGATGATTTAAAGTATTCCTGGTGTTTATACCTCGGGTTCGAACACGGCGCCGCTGTACACCGGGTTGGCTGTCGTTCTCCTCTTCCTCTCCTGCCGTTTGCTCTGGATTTCTGCAGAGAAACATGAGAGTTTGAATCCAGAAAGCTCCGCGGTCGCAGCATCCGGACCTGAAGACAGAATCTCACCTTCCAGGTGATCGTGTGTGACGAGGCCCAGAGACACCATGAAGGCCAGTTTCTGGAACAGAGAGAAAGCACATGACTTCACCACCGCTAAGCTAAAGGTGGCTAATGTTGGGCTATGAGGGAACTACAGCACGGTCACATGACTTCACGTCTCCACCGCTAAGCTAAAGGTGGCTAATGTTGGACTATAAAGGAACTACAGCACGGTCACATGACTTCACGTCTCCACCGCTAAGCTAAAGGTGGCTAATATTGGACTATAAAGGAACTACAGCACGGTCACATGACTTCACGTCTCCACCGCTAAGCTAAAGGAGGCTAATGTTGGGCTATGAGGGAACTACAGCACGGTCACATGACTTCACTTCACCACCGCTAAGCTAAAGGCGGCTAATGTTGGGCTATGAGGGAACTACAGCACGGTCACATGACTTCACGTCACCACCGCTAAGCTAAAGGTGGCTAATGTTGGGCTATAAAGGAACTACAGCACGGTCACATGACCTCACGTCACCACCGCTAAGCTAAAGGTGGCTAATGTTGGGCTATAAAGGAACTACAGCACGGTCACATGACTTCACGTCACCACCGCTAAGCTAAAGGTGGCTAATGTTGGGCTATAAAGGAACTACAGCACGGTCACATGACTTCACGTCACCACCGCTAAGCAAAAGGTGGCTAATGTTGGGCTATAAAGGAATTACAGCACGGTCACATGACTTCACGTCACCACCGCTAAGCTAAAGGTGGCTAATGTTGGGCTATAAAGGAACTACAGCACGGTCACATGACTTCACGTCACCACCGCTAAGCTAAAGGAGGCTAATGTTGGGCTATAAAGGAACTACAGCACGGTCACATGACTTCCCGTCACACCGATCAGCTGGAGGGCCTAACTGCCCCCCCCCTCTACACACCTCGGGGTTGTCCTCTCTCTTGGCGGGGGGAGACAGCGGGGGGGTGGAAGGGGGGGGGCTCACCACCAGCTTCTGCTCAGATCCACCTCCGGGTTTAACAGTCTGAGAGGAGGTGAAGAAAATCAATCAATCAATCAATCAATCAATCAATCAATCAGCAGACGCTGCTGAAACACAAACCTGAACATTTGGTTATTAATTAATGTTGCGTAATAAAGCAGCCATGTTGTGTAATACCATGTTTTGTGTAATAACATTGTGTAATAGGATGCATATTATATAATAACACGTATTGTGTAATAACATGTATATTGTGTAATAACATTGTGTAATAGCATTGTGTAATACCATGTTTTGTGTAATAAGGAAATATATATTGTGTTATAGCATATGTTGTGTCATAACATGTATTTTGTATATTGTGTAATAACATGTATATTGTGTAATAACATGTATATTGAGTGATAACATGTATATTGTGTAATAACATGTATAATAGCATTGTGTAATAACATTGTGTAACACCATGTTTTGTGTAATAACATGCATATTATGTAATAACACGTATTGTGTGATAACATGTAAATTGTGTAATAAAAGTGTAATAACATGTATATTATTTAATAACACTGTAATAACATGTTTTGTGTGTAATAACCACGCTATCGGTACCTTGGGCTCTGCATTCAGGCTGCTGATCTGGATGGGCTTGTTGGGGGCGGGCTTCAGGGCGGGGGTCAGGACGGGGGTCAGGAGGGCACTGCTGGCGAGGCGTGTTGTGGTCATCATCGGGGGGGTGGTGATCACGATGCCCGTCAGCGTGTTGCTGCTCTCTCTGCACGGCTGACCGTTCAGGATGCGCACCTGGAGGGTGGGAGGCAGCGAGAGGTTTGAAAATACTCTCAAAACTGACCCTTTCTGCCCTTTAGTACTTTTACTGTAACAGAGTATTTACTATACTCTGGTACTTCTACTTTTACTCAAGTAAAAGATCTGAGTACTTCTACTTTTACTCAAGTAAAAGATCTGAGTACTTCTACTTTTACTCAAGTAAAAGATCTGAGTACTTCTACTTTTACTAAAGTACAAGATCTGAGTACTTCTACTTTTACTAAAGTACAAGACCTGAGTACTTCTACTTTTACTAAAGTACAAGACCTGAGTACTTCTACTTTTACTAAAGTACAAGATCTGAGTACTTCTACTTTTACTAAAGTACAAGATCTGAGTACTTCTACTTTTACTAAAGTACAAGACCTGAGTACTTCTACTTTTACTAAAGTACAAGACCTGAGTACTTCTACTTTCACTCAAGTACAAGATCTGAGTACTTCTACTTTTACTCAAGTACAAGACCTGAGTACTTCTACTTTTACTAAAGTACAAGACCTGAGTACTTCTACTTTCACTCAAGTACAAGATCTGAGTACTTCTACTTTTACTCAAGTACAAGATCTGAGTACTTCTACTTTTACTCAAGTACAAGATCTGAGTACTTCTACTTTTACTAAAGTACAAGACCTGAGTACTTCTACTTTTACTAAAGTACAAGATCTGAGTACTTCTACTTTTACTCAAGTACAAGATCTGAGTACTTCTACTTTTACTACAAGTACAAGATCTGAGTACTTCTACTTTTACTCAAGTACAAGATCTGAGTACTTCTACTTTTACTACAAGTACAAGATCTGAGTACTTCTACTTTACTAAAGTACAAGATCTGAGTACTTCTACTTTTACTCAAGTACAAGATCTGAGTACTTCTACTTTTACTCAAGTACAAGATCTGAGTACTTCTACTTTTACTCAAGTACAAGATCTGAGTACTTCTACCTATCTTGATGCTCAGTATATACTGCTCTTCATCGTTGTTATGTATAATATATAGTGTAGCTGTAGAATGAAGACGAGGGAACGAAGCTGATTGTAATGATGGATGAAGATGAGATGTTGACAGCGAGCAGAGCGCACCTGGTGGATGGGAGCCGCTGAGGGCAGAGAGGAGGAGGACAGCTTGGTGGCCAGCATGAGGGGCCGCTGCAGCAGCTGGGGGGGCCGCCATCATGGGGGGAGGGGGCGCCGGGGCGATGTGCACGTTGGTGTTGGAGGGCGGGAGCGGTTTGGGCCGGACCTGGAGACAGCAGACAGCCAATCAGAAGAGAGGAGAACACAGGTGAGAAGAACACTGCTGGGTGACGTCACTGAGGATCTGAGGGGGACTGATGCTAATGCTAAGGCTAATGCTAATGCTAAAAATAAAGGCTAATGTTTATACCAACGCCAATTATAGATACCTTTACTTGTACTAATAGAAAACTAATATTAATGATGCTGATGCTCATGCTAAAAACAAAGGCTAATGCTAATACAGACGCCAATTTTACATATTTTTACTTAAACTAATACAACACTAATATGAATGATGCTGATATTAATGCAAACACATATGCTAACGCCAATTTGACGTACTTGTACCTACACTATTGCTAAGACATATACCAATATATACGTTAGGGTTAGGCATTTAGTACTTTTCTAAAGTTAAACTTGTTCTCCTAAATGTTTTACTTTAATCCGAGAGCACTTCTGAGTCTTTATCAGACGTACAATCTGATGCTCCTCTTGAATGTGTGAGTCTTTATCAGACGTACAATCTGATGCTCCTCTTGAATGTGTGAGTCTTTATCAGACGTACAATCTGATGCTCCTCTTGAATGTGTGAGTCTTTATCAGACGTACAATCTGATGCTCCTCTTGAATGTGTGAGTCTTTATCAGACGTACAATCTGATGCTCCTCTTGAATGTGTGAGTCTTTATCAGACGTACAATCTGATGCTCCTCTTGAATGTGTGAGTCTTTATCAGACGTACAATCTGATGCTCCTCTTGAATGAGTGAGTCTTTATCAGACGTACAATCTGATGCTCCTCTTGAATGTGTGAGTCTTTCTCAGTTAGCTTTAATCCCAGAGAATATTAAGATTATTTTTGTGAATGACTCATTATTTCCCTGTCAGTGTGAGCACCCTTGATAACTGTTCCTCCCTCGTTGTGTTATTTTTGCAGTGTTGAAGTTCTCCTAGCAGTGTTCTCCTAGCAGTGTTCTCCTAGCAGTGTTCTCCTAGCAGTGTTCTCCTAGCAGTGTTTAAGTTCTCCTAGCAGTGTTGAAGTTCTCCTAGCAGTGTTCTCATAGCAGTGTTGAAGTTCTCCTAGCAGTGTTAAAGTTCTCCTAGCAGTGTTCTCATAGCAGTGTTGAAGTTCTCCTAGCAGTGTTCTCCTAGCAGTGTTCTCCTAGCAGTGTTAAAGTTCTCCTAGCAGTGTTCTCCTAGCAGTGTTCTCCTAGCAGTGTTAAAGTTCTCCTAGCAGTGTTCTCCTAGCAGTGTTCTCCTAGCAGTGTTGAAGTTCTCCTAGCAGTGTTCTCCTAGCAGTGTTCTCCTAGCAGTGTTGAAGTTCTCCTAGCAGTGTTCTCATAGCAGTGTTGAAGTTCTCCTAGCAGTGTTCTCCTAGCAGTGTTCTCCTAGCAGTGTTGAAGTTCTCCTAGCAGTGTTCTCCTAGCAGTGTTCTCCTAGCAGTGTTGAAGTTCTCCTAGCAGTGTTCTCCTAGCAGTGTTCTCCTAGCAGTGTTGAAGTTCTCCTAGCAGTGTTAAAGTTCTCCTAGCAGTGTTCTCCTAGCAGTGTTAAAGTTCTCCTAGCAGTGTTCTCCTAGCAGTGTTCTCCTAGCAGTGTTAAAGTTCTCCTAGCAGTGTTCTCCTAGCAGTGTTCTCCTAGCAGTGTTAAAGTTCTCCTAGCAGTGTTCTCCTAGCAGTGTTCTCCTAGCAGTGTTGTATCACAGTATCTCTGCAGGTCACCCAGCACTAAAGTTCACACGTTTCCACTGAAAGGGTTAAAACACACGGACAGCCAGGAACACCAAGAAGCGCCACCCACACACACACACACACACACACACACACACACACACACACACACACACACACACACACACACACACACACACACACACACACACACACACACACACACACACACCACACACACACACACACACACACACACACACACACACACACACACACACACACACACACACACACACACACACACACACACACACACACAACCTTAAAACAACCTGAGGTCGGAGTAAATGATAAGAAGCACAAGGAGAGGATGAGTAGAGGCAGCGCAGAGCAAACACTGTTTTAGTGCCGCAGAGTAAGGCATGGTGTTTGCTGTGCCTCGGGTTAGGGGGAGGCGGGGCTTACAGGGACGCACCTGTGGCTGATAGGTGGGTCGAGGCGTCAGTCTAGGAGGAGGGACAAACTGAGGAACTTTGATTGGCTGGGCCGAGGTGGTGGTGGCCTGCATCTGAGACAAAACCATCGAGAGGTGGATCTGTGCTCGATTAACACCATGGAGAGGTGGATCTGTGCTCGATTAAAACCCTGTTTTTATAGTTGTATGTCTAATATATATTCATGTTGTGTTGGAGGAGCTTCAGATGTTCCTCACCATATCTACCCTGTAGCTGCTGAGTATCTGATGATAAAGCCTCTGAACTCTGGGCTGATAAACAGCCGTATTGTATTTCCGAGCGACAGTAGACGTGATATTTCTCCTGCGATGTTAACATCTCTTTATATCCTCGATGAGGAAGTGGTTAAATCTCAACGGGGTTTGAAACCGACAAGACGCATCCCTGACAGCAGATCATAAACCTGACAGCTGTGAACACTAAGGTGAGGTGAGGGGGCGGGGCTTACCACCATGGCGTTCTTGGTCACCAGCCTCACAGGCTCTGCACTCTGATTAGTCAGCTTGCTGGCCACCTGCAGGTTGATGGGCACGCTCTGCAGGTCAGGTTTGGTGATGGCTGCAGTTACCACGGCGACAGTGGGGGGCAGCGCCTTCAGAACCAGAGGTAGAGTCTTAGTGGTGAGGAGCGGCGTCACCATCAGCGTCTAAACACAGACAACACCCGTCAGTACAATATCAACATTTTGGACTTTTCTGAAAATCTCAACCGGTTGACTTTTTTTCAAAAGAAATCAACATTCTGACTTTTTTCCCAAAAATCTCAACATTTTAAAGGTGGGGTAGGTAATTTTGAGAAACCGGCTCGAGTGCGCTATAATTTGAAAATACACAGCCGGAACAAATCTGCCACTTCCTTATAGAGCCCCTCCTCCAACACACACGAACGCGCACATGACCAATGAGGGCACGAGATAAGTTTGTGCACAGATGGAAGGCTGACAGGCAGGTAGGCCATCCAGTTATTTTAGCCGGGCCGGCTCAGATGATTGGTCGTGCTTTTTACAGTACTACGGCTTCCACAGATGATATTTATTTATGGATTTTTTTGTCAAAGCACTTCAGATATTCATTGCTATCGGGATGTTAAGAGCATTCCATGGAATATAACAAGTGTATCTCGAGCCGGTTTCTCAAACTTACCTACCCCACCTTTAACTTTTTCTGAAAATCTCAAAAATCTCAACATTTTAACTTTTTCCCGAAAATCTCAACATTCTGATTTTTTGCTAAAAATCTCAACATTCTGATTTTTTTCTAAAAATCTCAACATTCAGATTTTTTCCTAAAAATCTCAACATTCTGATTTTTTTCTAAAAATCTCAACATTCTGATTTTTTTCTAAAAATCTCAACATTCTGATTTTTTTCTGTAAATCTCAACATTCTGATTTTTCCCTAAAAATCTCAACATTCTGATTTTTTTCTAAAAATCTCAACATTCTGATTTTTTTCTGTAAATCTCAACATTCTGATTTTTCCCTAAAAATCTCAACATTCTGATTTTTTTCTAAAAATCTCAACATTCTGATTTTTTTCTGAAAATCTCAACATTCTGATTTTTTTCTGAAATTTCTACCGGAGCCTCCGCCATGGAGCATCGGCACTTTCAGCAGGTTATTCTCATGCTGCTGTTAATCTGGAGATCAACAGACTCTACAGGACGCGCATATGATTATATAATCAGACAGTGTGCGATAAAAAAAACCATGATAACCCATATAATGAGCCGTTCTGCAGTCAGGAGGGCGTTTCACCGACGACAGGTGGCTCTGACTTTTATGTAGTTGACGGAGCGTTTTTACTTTACACGACACTGTTCAACACTTCATTCTGCTTCACTCTTTAACTAAACAACCGCGGATGTCTTGAAAGACTCTTTCGCTAAAGACTTTGAAGACATCCGCGTTCTTGTGACTCGTAAATACTACGCTTCCTATGGTTTTGGTGCGGACTGCGTTCACACCAGCGATGAACCGCTCCAGAGTTCACTAGCAAGCGGTCCGAGACCACCTCTTTTAGGCGGACCAGAGTCTGCTGGTTTAGTTCACTTCAGAGGTCTCGGTCTGCGTTCACACCGACCCAAACAAACCGCACCAAGGGGGTAACACACCAGGGTTAGATACACCCGGACTATACAAGGTGTGAATGCGACCTTAGATTTATTTCTGAAAATCTCAAAAATGTTTCTGAAAATCTCAACATTTTGAAAAATATCACTCGTCTCCGGCTTCAGTTTATTTTTTTACAATTGTCTTTTTTACAGGATGATTGGGGGTAACATTATATTACATTTAAGAATTCATGACAAGGAATTAATTGGCAACAACATTTGACTTAAAGGTCTCCTATTATACTATTGTTAGGCATATATTATGGGTCTCAGATATATAAAAATACATAAAAAACATGTCTCTGAAGTGTTTTGCTCAAAATACCAAACAGATCATCCATTTTAGAAATCCCTCATATCCCTCTGTTCCAGCTGTTAGAGAAACGCTGATTCTGGGTCAGTTAACCTGTTAAGCCCTGAGCCTGTTTCTCAGGTCTCAGGCTCTAAATGACATTCCCAGAACAAATGACCATATCTTCCCTTCTAAAAGGGTTAAATTAATAATCTTTTTTCTCAAAGTAATGATAAACCTGTGAGTTGGATGTAGAACAGTCAGAATCAATATAGATGTTTTTTATTTTAAAGAAAATTCAGATTTTACATAGTAAAAAACTGTAAATTATAGTGTCCGTCCAAAAATTATTTTTTACTTATAGTGAAAACTACCCTTGGATGATGGGTTAGTAGACTAAAAGCTTTAGGAATCCAAAGTACAACATATAATAAGTACCCTGTATCAAGATTGATGCAAAACAAGTGACATTTGACCTTTTTAGAGAGGTTTAGCAAAAAGAAACCACTTCTGAGGTCATTTGGGTGGATTTTCCATATCTCTGGCCCCCCTTGCTCGATTTTGATGGTTGACACCTCTTTCTGACCGTTAGAGCCAATAGAATCGAAGGGGGAGTCCCCCACACACACACACACACGTTGTGAAGAGAAAAGGTGGGGGCTTCGCGCATGCAGTTTTGCATCAGAGTGAACCTATCTCTAGCTTTGACATCTGGAAACGGAAAAGCAGTTTTAATGCTTATGGATTATCAGCTAATGTAAACACAGACCATATTACTTCCAGAACACATCTCATTGTTTCTGACGGCAACGTTTCTGATTGGCCCGACATTGGAAAAGACATCACTTAGTGAGTCTCCTGACACACCGGGAACACATGGTGATGTAGAGAAGACATCACTTAGTGAGTCTCCTGACACACCGGGGACACATGGTGATGTAGAGAAGACATCACTTAGTGAGTCTCCTGACACACCGGGGACACATGGTGATGTAGAGAAGACATCACTTAGTGAGTCTCCTGACACACCGGGGACACATAGTGATGTAGAGAAGACATCACTTTGTGAGTCTCCTGACACACCGGGGACACATGGTGATGTAGAGAAGACATCACTTTGTGAGTCTCCTGACACACCGGGGACACATGGTGATGTAGAGAAGACATCACTTTGAGAGTCTCCTGACACACCGGGGACACATGGTGATGTAGAGAAGACATCACTTAGTGAGTCTCCTGACACACCGGGGACACATGGTGATGTAGAGAAGACATCACTTTGAGAGTCTCCTGACACACCGGGGACACATGGTGATGTAGAGAAGACATCACTTTGAGAGTCTCCTGACACACCGGGGACACATGGTGATGTAGAGAAGACATCACTTTGTGAGTCTCCTGACACACCGGGGACACATGGTGATGTAGAGAAGACATCACTTAGTGAGTCTCCTGACACACCGGGGACACATGGTGATGTAGAGAAGACATCACTTAGTGAGTCTCCTGACACACCGGGGACACATGGTGATGTAGAGAAGACATCACTTAGTGAGTCTCCTGACACACCGGGGACCAGTGTTGGGCAAGTTACTTCCAAAATGTAATATATTACATATTACTTATTACTGTCTTTTTAAAGTAATAAGTTACATTACAATATTACTGTCTCTGAAATGTAATGAGTTACACTACTTTTATATTACTTTTGAGTTACTTTCACCAAAATAACTGCAAAAGAATGGCTAGGTATTTTAAATGCTAACATGTAGTTTAGTGCAGCTCATTATACATCCAGTGAAGGGCGATGTGGTATAGCATAACAACTGTGTAGGCCATTAAGGCTACTAACAACTTTTATTACACGGCTTAGTTGAATACTGGATTCTGATTGGTCAATTCAGAACACGTGACACGTTGTTAATCCAGCCGTACAGACCGCTGTCAAGGACTATAATGAAGGTTGCTAAGGAGGATCAAGAAAGAGAAAGGAGGTTAAAAGACGGAGCGCTGGACGTCAGATAAATCACCAGAAGAAGACAGAGAGGAAGTAAACAATAACAGGAACACAGAATGAACTACAGAGAGGAAACAGAATGAACTACAGAGAGGAAGTAAACAATAACAGGAACACAGAATGAACTACAGAGAGGAAGTAAACAATAACAGGAACACTGAATGAACTACAGAGAGGAAGTAAACAATAACAGGAACACTGAATGAACTACAGAGAGGAAGTAAACAATAACAGGAACACTGAATGAACTACAGAGAGGAAGTAAACAATAACAGGAACACAGAATGAACTACAGAGAGGAAGTAAACAATAACAGGAACACAGAATGAACTACAGAGAGGAAGTAAACAATAACAGGAACACAGAATGAACTACAGAGAGGAAGTAAACAATAACAGGAACACAGAATGAACTACAGAGAGGAAGTAAACAATAACAGGAACACAGAATGAACTACAGAGAGGAAGTAAACAATAACAGGAACACAGAATGAACTACAGAGAGGAAGTAAACAATAACAGGAACACAGAATGAACTACAGAGAGGAAGTAAACAATAACAGGAACACAGAATGAACTACAGAGAGGAAGTAAACAATAACAGGAACACAGAATGAACTACAGAGAGGAAGTAAACAATAACAGGAACACTGAATGAACTACAGAGAGGAAGTAAACAATAACAGAACACAGAATGAACTACAGAGAGGAAGTAAACAATAACAGGAACACAGAATGAACTACAGAGAGGAAGTAAACAATAACAGGAACACAGAATGAACTACAGAGAGGAAGTAAACAATAACAGAACACAGAATGAACTACAGAGAGGAAGTAAACAATAACAGGAACACAGAATGAACTACAGAGAGGAAGTAAACAATAACAGGAACACTGAATGAACTACAGAGAGGAAGTAAACAATAACAGGAACACTGAATGAACTACAGAGAGGAAGTAAACAATAACAGGAACACAGAATGAACTACAGAGAGGAAGTAAACAATAACAGGAACACAGAATGAACTACAGAGAGGAAGTAAACAATAACAGGAACACAGAATGAACTACAGAGAGGAAGTAAACAATAACAGGAACACAGAATGAACTACAGAGAGGAAGTAAACAATAACAGGAACACAGAATGAACTACAGAGAGGAAGTAAACAATAACAGGAACACAGAATGAACTACAGAGAGGAAGTAAACAATAACAGAACACAGAAT